AGAGAGAGAGAGAGAGAGAGAGAGAGAGAGAGGAGGAAGAAGAGAAGAACAAAGAAAGGAAGGTCCTTGTATCGGTTTTGGGGTGGGCTATTGTTTATTTATGAGGAGTGAGCTACTTTTAAGCTATCACAGGCCAGATTGCTTTTATGGGCCCAGTCCTGCAGACACAGGTTTCAACTTCTCTGGACCACTGTGGCCTTGGGGGGGAGGGAAACCAGAGATAAAGGCATGAGGTCATTTTAAGAGCCAAGAGGTACCAGGAGAATGCAGCCTGTGATGGCAGCATCACAGCATATTTTAACATGATCAATTCCCTAACAGATGTATTTTTATCCATTGCAAGATGCTTATTTAACTTGAATCTTTTTTCTTTGGTGAAAACTTGCAGCCCTGGGGCATCAGATCTGTCAGGTCCCGGTGTGGACCACACCTGCCCATTCTGTTCTCACCATGCTTCCTCCAGTGTCCTGGAAGAGAAGATTGGTGTCAGAGGCTCCTACCCACTTAACTGAGTTTTTTCTTCTCTTTCTTTATTTCAAGGGTAAAATTTTGTGAATGAATGAGTGGAATTATGTTATTTTCCTCATTAAAATCTTTAGTCTTCCAATGGGTCTCCCTGAACACATGACATCATTTAAGTAATATTCTTGCCCCAAAGTGAATAAGCTAAATCTTGTCATTTGGAGCCATTAAACAAACCAAACTGTGGGACACTTTACAAAACAACTGGCTTATATGCCTCAAAAAATATTAAATGCCATAAAAGACCAAAGAGGCTCAGAAATTATTTCTGATAGAGGCTAAGAACACATAACAGTTAAATGTGATGCATGATCCTTAACTGGTAAAGCATTGCTGTATAGAACATTATAGAGATAATTGACAGGTATAGAATACTGTGTTAAATGACAATTACATTATGTTAAATTTTCTGATTCTAATAGTTATATTGCAGTTATATACTTGTCATGACATACTTAGGAGTGAAGGAACAATATGTCTGTAATTTTCATAATTCAGAAAAAATTTAGACATGCAGTACAATTTTTACATGATTCACATCTATATTCATATTTATTTTATGTAGTACATATGGTGTCATATATCAAAAATGGTGTGCAGATGTTCATTATACTTTCCTTACAGCCTCTTTGCAGACTTAGAAATTTTCAAACTTTTATAACTTATTTTGGAAGACCTTCTCTAGTCAGTCCCTGTGGCCTTCAGGATAAAGTCCAAATCCTTGTCTCAAGCTCAAGGTCTCCAGACCCGATCCTCCTTTATCTCCTGAAGTGTTTTTTGTTACCTCCTATCCTTGACGTGTATTCCTGCTTCCTTTCCTTCACCCAGTACCTTGAACTCCAGGGTTCTGCTCCAGGAAGTCCTGATCCTGGGTGTTTTCCCAGCCCTTCCTGCCATGTCCATGCCTTTGTCCTTGTTCCTTTGTTGCTTTCTGTAGATGCTGGGCACAGAGCACCATGAAAAACCTTGGCCTTTTGCAGTGGTTGTTTTCATATCATTCCCTCACACTGGATCGTACCTAGGGTCTAGTTCAGTAGTAAGTGCACAACTGCTGTCCCTCTATTTTTGAGATTTAGTAAATCTAGGATAGAAAAGTAAACACTTTTTCACTTAAAGTGATAGGAGCTCAAGGACCTATTACAGTACCTAGCTTACTGTGCATGCAAATATTTATGAAATGAACAAATGAATGTGTAAGTGAATGGGTATTCAACAAATAAGTGACTGGATTCAAAGAAATGTATTTCATTTTCCAGGTTTCCAGTACACTAAATATGGATGCCGTAGGAAAAGTGATAATAAAATGGTTCATCGTAGCTTCTGTGAGGCCAATAAGAAGCCGAAACCTATTAGACGAATGTGCAATATTCAAGAATGTACACATCCGCTGTAAGCATTTACTTCAACTGTTATATTTTGAGACCAAATAAGGGCTCAAGGATCTTTAGCTCTTTTCAGCTTTAATTTTTACTCAAAGCTGTACATGTACCTGGTTGAGGAAACCAAATCATTTCATAGGAATTATATAGAAATGTGCGGTTCCCTACCTACCTTTATCATATTTCCACTCCTTCAGCTGTTACCTTTCTTTTGATGTTTGGTAATTAATTATTTGCATCTCTCTTAGTAAAATACTTTTGTTTCTATTCCTTGACTTTTGGAGGCAATATTTTGTTTCATGTATTGAATTTTCACAATGGAATGACTAAGTATTTTATAACAGCACCTGTAGCCCACATTCATTCTTTTCCCAGTACTCCAGTATTGATAATATTCTGATAACAAGATTCAGGGCTTATATTAACAGATATCTCTGAGCTGGTGAGTCACATAGAATGATCTGATTATGTTTGCATTCTTGTAAAACTTTCTTCTAGAATAAATGGAAGCCTTGATTTTTGTCTGTTTTCTCCTACTTTTCACAAACTCATGCTGAAACTCTCTTCCTTGTGTTTCTGTCCTTCTGAATAGTACGCTTTTGCCTTCATCTGTGTGGAGACAGAAGCATCCTCTGTGTTCCAGCTCTAGCTTGAGCTTCTACTCAGCTTTCTCCAGAGATTTCTTCTGCCCCCGTCTTGTGTGTGGGTTCTTGTTTCCTGTGGTAGTTGTTTTCTCATCTCATCATTCATACCTTTCGGGAATTTCATATAAAAAGTATATACAAAGTAAATATTTACATAAGAATTAATTCTTAGACACCAAGGAGAAGTATGTAGGAGGTTGGTATAAAGACATATTTCTTCTACTCTTCCTCCTAATCATTTGGAGACACACAAACGTATACAATTCTAAACTATTTTCTCTCATAATCTCAAGTATGTGGTTCCATTGTTTGCTACTCCAAGGTTGCTGTTGAAAATTAGTCGTAATTCTGATTTTCAGTTCTGTCTACCTGACCTGTTTTGTCTTTCAAAATGTGTGGGGTCTTTTTTTTTTTTTTCCTAAAAAACTGGAAATTTCACAGGGATGAGAGTATCATGGTCACCTCTTTTTGTACATGCTGTGGGTTTGTAGAATTTTTCAGTTGACAATATAATGTTTTAATATGAATGATACAGTCAAGCTAACCAATGTATTGGTCACCTTACATACTTGTCTGTGTATATATGATGTGAACATTTTACAATCTGCTCTTAGCAATTTTGAAATTTGTGTAACATTATTGTTAACTATAGTCACCATATTGTACAAAAATAGACCTTGTAGTGGCAACTTTATATCATTTGACCAGTGTCTCCACATTCTCTTTTGCCCCCAACCCATCCAGCTCCTAGTGATCATCTCTCTACTTTCTATTTCCATGAGTTTGCTGCTCTTAGATTCCATGTGTGAGGTCATGAACTATTTGTCTCTTTGTGTCTGGCATATTTTACTTAACAAAATGTCTCCCGGGTTCATCCATGTTGTTGAAAATTACACTTGTAGACCTTTAAAACATAAAACTAGTATCTTTCATCTCTGGGAGAGTTTCACTGAAAAATTTCTGTGATATTTTTCAGCATTCTTTCTTTTTGAGAGATTTGATAATTCAGCTTTATTCTACTTGCTGAGTTTTGCAGTATTATATCAGTAATATCCAAAAGTTTTATTTTGTTCAGTTCCTTTATCGATATTTTGGTCACTTTTAGGATATTAAATATTTCCTTTTTATGGCTTATTTCTGAGTATTTTTCTTCTACCCCATCTGGTTCGTGAGTATATAACTGAGGTGTCATTTTTCCCACTTCAGTTAATTTTTCTTTCTGTATATATGAAGTACTAAAATATAACCACTACTTCTTTGTTAACTATGGTATTCATGTGTAGGACTGCCCTAGTCTCTCAAACTGATAGTCACACATGTTACAGCAGCTGGACTGTCATTTTACCAGGTTTTGAAGTTCTTATTACAAGACAGGAGTTAATGAGAAGCATATTTCATAGACAGAGACAGTTCTGGTTACCAGATGGATTCAATCGTAACAGTCCTGTGGGACTCTAGCTGTATAAAGGCGGAACTGTCCAAAGAAAGTGTCCAGAGCTGATTTGATTAGGGCTTGGGCACTGAGGTTGACACAAAATTTGGGAAGGTCTCATAGGAAATATTTCTGAAAATGTCACCTCCAACTATCCCTGCCTTCCTGGGAGCAGTTTCTACCAAGGCATGGAGGCACATGCTGTCTTTACCTTTCAGTCAGGCCCAGGAAAGGCCTGAGAACTGACTTCCAAACAGGATAGATACACACTTCATAGCAACTACTGTAGAAATAGAGCCATCAGTCCAGTTGGAATATTAAAACATGAATAAACTTTAGATTTCACGGGGAAAAATCAGCAACAGCCAAATCTGGTGGCCTCAGCAGCTATGGACGGTCTGTTTTTTATACTGTTTGGTGCTGCACCTCCTTAGCATCATGGCTGAGTGTGAGCAGGTGTTTCTGAAATCCACTCTCCTGCTGGCTTGCCAAGGAAGCCTCAAGATATGTGTCAGAAATTCTCTGTAGAGCGTCCTTTGGGACAGAAGATTTCAGGGTCCCTGAGAGGCATGAAGAATAGGAGAGGAAGTGAGAGGCAGAGGGCCTAGACAGTGCAGCTGCCTGCAAGGTGGCCCACTGGGTTGCAAGTCTCTTGGGGAGCCCTAAAGTCCAGGAGCTCAAACCCCATGCTCCACCATAATACTACCCCTTCTGGTCCACATGTGCAGCTGGGTGGCAGAAGACTGGGAGCACTGCACCAAGACCTGTGGCACTTCTGGCTACCAGCTCCGCACTGTGCGCTGCCTTCAGCCACTCCAGGATGGCACCAACCGCTCAGTGAACAGCAAGTACTGCATGGGCGAACGTCCTGAGAGCCGCCGGCCCTGCAACAGGGCTCCCTGTCCAGCGCAGTGGAAAGCAGGGCCCTGGAATGAGGTGGGTGTGCAGCATTCATGTGCAGCGCACGTGTACCAGGCTGGCTCCATATGAACACTAAGCTGGCACGTTTTGCCATCTCTGGAGAGTTAGGAAATTAGACTTTAAAACAGTGTCTGCAGTTAAGATTAGCTGTAGTCAAACCATGGTTGGAACTCTGTGACTTTCAGGTGTCTTGCAATTGGGCTACTTGTCACTCTAAGCTTGATCCTGGTCAGAGCCCTGCTCCACTGAGCAGTGCCCCAATTCTTACTCTGACTCCAGTCCAGCTTTGTGACCTTCTTGAATTCCCTCTAGCTTTGTGGCCCTTTTCCTGTTTGGAGCAGACCCTGCCTGCCACAGCCTCCCCACCACCCCTGCTGCCTTGCTTCATCTGGATTCCTACCTGGGCTATGTACCCCACCACCAGTGTCCCTGTTCTGCATGCTGAGGTGGCACAATCTCTCCTCACTGATGTGCGCTTTGCTGCCCCAGCACCCAGGGGCCCTGCTGCAGGTACAGCTTGTTCAGTGACTGTATCACCTGTAGGACCAAGTGTGTAATATTCCTAAAGGCTTAAATTAAGGAGTTGTGGGCCCATAGGAGGAAAGGGCCTAAAAAAATCAGAAAACAAAGGAGGAGGTAGAGACCAGGTCTAGGAAGGAAAGAGGCGGCCGCCATGGAGGCTGCCCATAGCACATCGGGATGGTAACCCCATCCCTGCCTCAGAGGCCTGGACAGAGGTCCAGCTTATGCCTAGGTGTCAGCTCACCACATTGTGGACCCAGCGTTTGAGCAGAAAGCCCCTTTATGAAGAAAAAGGATTCATGGGAATAAAGCAATACTTGCTCCAAAGAGGTGAATTAACCAAGGTAGCAGCTTGCCAGGAAAGTATGCATTTATGAGAAAGATAAAGGAGTGGGGGACCTCAGTGCCATGAGTAGCTCTCCAAACTACTCATGTCCTCTCGATGGGCAATAAACACTGTAACACCTGCCTTTATTTTCTAGTGTTCTGTGACATGTGGCGAAGGCACTGAGATGAGGCAAGTCCTCTGCAGGGCTGGAGACCACTGTGATGGAGAAAAGCCTACGTCCATGAGAGCTTGTCAACTACCACCCTGCAATGGTAGGTGCAACTCTGACTGATTTCCATGCACAACCTCAGGAAGCAGAATTTCCTTTCAGGATAAGCTCTGGAACATATTTGCTTACGGAGAGTTAAGCAAAGGAAAATAGTCATGAAATGTGAGTCAAAAAAAAACATTCGGGGCACTTCCCTATGCCATAGTAGTCAGGACCCTGCACTGGTCATGTTAGGTATGGCTGTGTCGGGCAGAGAGAGGCAGCTCTGGTCAATTAATGTTTCCGCTGGGGGCTACTTATTTTTCTTTGTTATATTCTTTATATAATTTCATCTCATTTTAAAAAGCTTAATATTACAGAAGGTTTTGAAATATATTGCTGAAATTGTCATTTTAAAAGTGTGCATGATAAATGCTACTCAGCTCCAAAGCCATTTCCAATAACCACCTGTTCATTTAGAGGGTGATTAAATAATCACCCTACACATGTGCTAAAATTAATCAATTACCTGACTTACTAGTGTGCTATATTGCAAAATTGGAGTTTATTTTATTTAAAATAAAACACAAAAATTTTACTGGGTAATGTCCACATCTGTCCCATTGTCCTTTGGTCCCTTTTCTGTTGTGCTCTCTGTGGACAATTGGTTCTGTTCCTCTCTAAGTGTTTGGTGTGTCTCTTGCTTTCTTGGACCTGCTCCTGTGAAAGAGGGCATGTCTGCCATACATGCTTCCCAGGCCTCACTTTCTCATGTTCCCTTCTCCCTAACCACACCTCTCTCTGCCTTTCTTTATGCTCTCCTCTCTTCTCTCTTGCTTGCTTTGTCTCTTCTTGTCCCTTGTCTCCCCTGCAGTTTTAGTTCATTCATGCTGCTGTTACAAAATATCTTAGACCAGATGATTTAGGAGCAACAGAAATGTGTGGCTCATAATTCTGGAGGCTGGAAAGCCCAGGGTCAAGGTTCCGGTTGATTTGTTGATTTGTGTCTGGTGAAGCCTTCAGAGATGGTTTCTTCCTTTGTCTTCATGTCATGGAAGGGGCTGGGGAGCAACCCCAAGTTTCTAGGTGCACTAACCCTATTCACAAGGCCTCACCTTTGTGACATCATCACCCTCTAGAGTCCTCACCTCCTAGTCCAGTCACCTTGGGGTTATGTTTCAGCATTTGAAGTTTGAAGTACATCAGTTGAGACCATGCCACCCACCTATTCTTCTCCCTCCCAACCCCCTTGTCCTTATGCCCACCTATTTCCTGCTTTCCCTCCATCTCCTGATCCACCCATCTGCATCATCACAACCTTCATCTTCAGTCCTTTTCTCTTAAATCCACTCCTCATGACAACTGTTGGCATTACTTTGGCACACTAATGAGGCCCAGGGCTGGAGAAGTTGCTTTCTCCTCAGCCTCCAACTCTGCAAGCAAACCACTGTTTCTGTGCTTCTTTTTAAAAAGAAAATTGGTTAAGACAATATTGTATCAAATATCTTGTATTTTGAACATTTCAATCTTCCAGTCTTCATACCATACTGTCATGAATTTTCGTAAGAGCAAATATGACCATCAGGGGGAGACAGAGGACTGCTGTATTTTCGGTCATTTCACTTTGAACAGCTCAAAACCTAAAAATGTGGACTGACCCAGTTAGGACGTCATTTCCTGTCATTGTATTATTAGTCCTTCCAGAGTCCCACTGTTGGGAGGCAACTTCACTTCCCTTAACTGCTGGCAGAGCTGATGAGCTGCCGCACATGTGCACAGTACCGGAAGGGATCAGCTTCATCATCCTTCTTAGGCAGAAGAAAGTGTTTTTATTGTAAATCCAAGGTGCTGAGGAGGTGGCATAACTGTGTCAGTGGCTCCACACTCCTATTAGCTGCTCTTTTGATCTGAAATTGAGGCCAAAAGGCCAATTCTAAGTGTTCTCAGGGGTCTCACATTTCTCCCATATTTCAGTCAGATGTGTAACAGTCGCCTTCAGAGGCTCAAGCTGCTGTTAGAATCAACTGACCTTTAAAGATAAGGTGTAAACTCCCTTCTCTGACATCTTTAGGCGTACAGTGAGAATGCCAAAGTTTCCTAAATTTTAATGATTGATTTTGTTCCACCCCAAATTCTGATTGTAATGAATCTCTAGTTGGAGTCCTATATGCCTCACTTATCTGTATGTCTAATTCTTCCCTTCTGTTTGGGAAGTTTTCTGTCATTAATTCTGTGAAGAGCTCTTTTAAGTCATTTGCATTTTCTCCTGCTACTTCATGGATTACTATCAGTCTTATGTTATTCTTTGCATCATGTAGGAGTTGTTGGATCAATTTCTCACGATCCCTTACTGTTTTTAAGAGACCTCTCTTTTCACTGTCACTGACTGCAATCCTATCTTCTATATTTGAGATTCTATTTTCACATTCTTTTATTCTGTTTCATACACTTTCAATAGAGTTTTTAATCTCCTGGATATCTGTTTTAATCTTTTATGGATTCCATTTCTTTCCTCTGTTAGGCATTCAGTGTTTCCATTTCTTTCTTATGCTGGGCCTTCGTGGCTTCCATCATGGTCCTGAGCTCATCTATTTTTTTCTCAGTTTCTGTTCTAGAGTCTCGAATCATGACTTCCATTTTGCTCACCATCTCTATGTTATCTGGGAAATTATTTCTATTTTGAATTTTTCTAGAGCCTGATTGATCTGTTTTTTTTTTTTTAATTTCCTGTGCTATGGGTTCAGGATGTCCTGCTGGTTCACTATCAGACTTTTCATCCTCATTTGCCGTACTATTTGCCATTGGTGAACTGGAAGTCTGTCTTTGTGTGTTGCTTAAGTCTTTTCTCATTTTTATTTTTGTTGTTGGGTTGTCCTTGGTTTAATTCCTGGGTTATTACTTAAATCTTCCTGATATAGTTGAACTTTAGCTTTTGAGTCTCTAATGATTCATAGCCATTCTCATTTTCATAATATTGGAGAAAACAACTCATTAAATCAATCACAATCCTTTATCCCAATCGATACATTCAGCAACACAATAGGATCAAGCACAGCTTGCAAATTGACCGCTTATGGTAGTCATTAATCTATCACCTTTAAACCATGTGAATTAAATTAAAATCAAGAAGCAGCCCAAAATATGTCTGCAGTGAATACGCTTTTCAATATAGCATCTTTACCATTTAGGATGAGGGCTTAGACAGAGTTAGGGCGAGAGAAGGAGATAAGTGAAAGAATTGGAGAAGGTTTCAAGTGAAACCAGAGGACATAGATGACCATATAATCTTTACAAAACTGTTAAATTCAAAAGGGATAGACAGAGTGAAAGAATAAGGACAAGAATATATCCCCTTAACAGTAATAGGGGCTCACTTTCCCTTGAAACTATTGACCCATGAGTGAAGTAAAATGACAGAAGAAAAGAACATAAAGAAAAAAGAAAAAAAATGATAAAGGAAGAAGTCTGAGTTAGGGCAGTATCAGGAACAGAAAGGGACATGAGGGATAATATGGTGGAGCAAGAGACTGAGTTGGAGAAAGAGGAAAAAAAGAAAGAATTTGCAGAATAGAATGAGGAAAAGAAAGAAAAAAATGAATTTGAAGGGCCTCCTTCAGACTATATCTCTGCTGTCATAATATACCATGTGAACAGCCATGTGCAGAACCAAGTCCCCTGATTTCAGCTATCCAATGGCAGATCCACGCAACTCAGAGTAACCTCAGGCCACAAGGCCCAGATTGAGTTCCCCAACCTCCTGCAGGGTTGAACTCCACACAGTTGTACTACAGGTTTTCCCCACCCTTTCTTTAAAGATGTTCAAAGTTGGGAGCTCAGAAAAATACCCTTTATGACCACCTATGCCTCTTCAGAGTGGGTCCAAGGACTGGCACAATCAGGAGGTCTGAGGGGGGGTGTTCAGGGGCACCCACATGGCTACCTTCCTTGCTGGAGCTGGTGGTGGTACAGGTAGGGGAGGGCACGGCTACCCGGTCCCACCGAAAGGGCCCAAGCCTGTAATGAATCTCTAATTATTTGCCTTGAAGCTTTCTACTCTGTGCCCAGAAAAATTACCATAAAGTGAGTGGCTATCTCTAGTCATACATGTTTCCCCTCAGAATCCGCCTGCCCTCCTCCTCCTTGCAGTACCTCATCCTGTGTCTCAGAGCCACAGGCTGGGAATGGCTCTGAGAGTGTAAACAAGGAACAAATCTACACTTTCAAATAGCAGTCCAAGAATCTTCAGAATCAACAGAAAACTGCTGTTTTGAAGCCAGACACTAAAAGTAATACTTTCTTTTTTTTTTTTTTTTTTTTTTTT